CTTATGCTTTAATTTTTATTACCTTAAATTATATAACTATGACATCCGTTTTGGTGAACCAAATATATTTCTAGGTTGTAATGCACTAAATAACACAATTTTATAATACATTATAATAAAATATTTGCTAATCAATAAATACAATATTTACTATTAGTTATAGATAGTAAACAACATGATTAGTTATAATTCTATTATATAAAATGTACATAAATTGTTATGATAAATTAAAAATATATTACAATGACATTGTATTTAATGTGTGTTAATATAATATATGAAGTGTAATAATTAAATATTTTGGTCCAGATAGTTTTGCATTTGTTGTGGTAGTTATTAAAGTTTAACCAATTAATTATTATAATCAATCTGCTTTTAAACATGTTTGATTTTATCAGTGTGATGTTTGTACAATTTTTTTACTATTTTGTATTTCGATAAAAAGTTCAGTATTTCTATAACCGGCTGATAATTGCATTAATCTCTAATATGTATTTATATAATATGGTGATTTTCATACACAATAATCGTGGTAAATTAATTTATATTAAATGCATTATTCATTGGAGAAAAAATGATTTAGTTTTATAAACTCTACATTGTTTGTAAATGCCATACCTTAATTAAATTTTACAAAAATTATTTTTAAGCATGTGCTAAAACAGTTCATTTATATTAATTAATTGACACAAATTTATATCAGGCATACTCATTCTCATATGATTTAATTAATTAGTTTTAATAAATAATAAATTTAGCAATTAATTAGGTATTTGTTTATTTTACAAATAGTTTGTTTAGTGATAATAATTCAAGGTTTTAATAAAAAATAGCAAAGTTAAAAATAATATAAAACTGTTAAAAACTAGTTTAAAACAATAAATTTATTACAATTTAAAACCAATAATTACTGAATTTAAATCTCATAGCAATTTATTTAAACTTAATTAATAATAACGTTAACAACAAACTAACGACAAATATAAAAATATAATAAACACTTTATATTTATTATATCTAAACATAAAATCTACACTAAATAAAATGTTGCCACAAGTAATCAAAACTCTCTCTCTCTCTCTCTCTCTCTCTCTCTCTCTCCCATCACTATGTTCTTAATCTACAGATTAGGTCTATTGGCAACACTACCGGCAAAATTTTTATCGTCTGAGGTGATTCTGTGCACTTTACCACAAGTAGGGTGTGCTGGTCTCTGATCGGGACCAAAGTTTTTATAAGCAGTAGTGATAAACATCTGATCCATGTTTGGTCCGCCAAACACCGGTGTAGTGGTCAGTGGGCACGGGATGGCACAGGTGTCCACTATATCACCGGAGTTGGGCTCGATCTTCACCACTCGACCGTTGCCTATACAGGAAGCCCATAGATGGCCAGTAATATCGATGGTTAGGCCGTCCGGCCTGTCGTTTACTGTCCAATCGGTGCGGGTCTCGGCATCGATCAGGATTGTTTTGTTTGCTAGTTTTTTTTGCAAATTATTTTTATTAAAATTGACCATAATAATTATTCTGATTAGGGTCTGTGTAAGTGGGGCACAGGTGAGGGGCACAGTTTTAGCTATGATAGTTAAATAGTTGCAAAATAAAGTACCATGATTACTTACCAACTGTTCCCTTATCGAGATCAAAGTCAAACACATAGATCTTTCGGGCGCGCGAGTCATTGATAAACAACTTTTTCTGGTCGTGACTCCAAGTGATGCCATTTGTGAGATAGAAATTGTCGGTCCTTTTGGTGAACCCTTTGCCCGATTCCCACGTCCAGAGGTTGCCTTTGCCGGGCAGTACCGAGTGATCGCCGGGAGTTAGACTGTCGGTCACTGTTGCCAACCACATACGGCCAGACTTGTCGGGTTGACCCTCGTTAAATCTCTCCTGGCCTTTTAGTTCGGGCGCAACTTCATCTGTGTCAGTTGTGTTTAAATTTTAATTTTACCATAAATTTTTATACAAAATTTATTGTTTTATGAATGTAAGTTAGCAAATATATACCTAGTACGGTGACTTTCTTAGTTTTCCAATTGAGCTTGACCAGTTTATTACGCTGAGACACCAACAAGTCCTCGCCGTTGGGATACGGGTGAACAAAAGTAGCAATATCAGTTAATTTATGACACTCACTGTCCTGACTGGTCACGTTCAAGCGGCACACTTTAAACTCGTTGATATCCGTATGCCAAAGCACGTGCTGTTTCTCATCCCAATGTGGTCCCTCACCTAGGTCACTCTGCATTTTTTCAACCGCCGCCACCTTATAGTGCACTTTGGCTACACTGTAAGTGACGGACAGGGATATGATTAGGCATAAGGTGTGAAAATTCATGGTATTTTTATTTGTGTAAATTATAAAACAATAATTTAACAAATGTAAAGTGTATTATACTTTATGCGAGTTTTAAAAAATGTCTATTGTTTTCGTTTTTTATCAGTATTTATCTTAAAGTGTATTATCTTTATTCTCTCTCTCTCTCTCTTCCGAAAAAGTGCACTCACGAAATAGCTTTGGCAATGCTATTCAATGGCAATCAATATATTTAAAAAATAAATGTGATGAAATTTTTTAATTGACTGGATCAATTGTTATAATTTATATCTAATTGTTATTTTCTTTATNCTGGACGTGGGAATCGGGCAAAGGGTTCACCAAAAGGACCGACAATCTCTCTCTCTCTCTCTCTCTCTCTCTCTCAAATTTATATTTTGCTTGAGAAATGAGACATTTGTTGCAATTATTACTATATTAATAATTTTTAATACTGTTATTTTGTGTATTTAGCAGTTTATACAAAATAATTTATCATAATCATTTATTTTGATTATTCTATAACCCATATACTGTATAAGTTTTAATATTCTAAAACTTTTAGAAGTTAAATGAACAAATTATCGCATGGATTTGAAAATCTAGAGTAAACGGGGACGTAATTTAAAAATTAATCCAGTTATTAATTATGTACATTATGGACATCATAAAAAACATTGGTTATTGGTCTACAAAACAGTGCCATTCATTTGTCTGTATGTCTTGTGGTTTAGGAGTAATCCTTTCCCGAAGACGTTCACACCCGAAATAGCTTTGGCACAATGACCATGGCACTTTTTTAAAAAGAGATAATAAAATGCTGTAAAGTGTTTTTGTATGAAGATCAGATAAAGAAAATAACAATTAGATATAAATTATAACAATTGATCCAGTCAAT